TATTTTTTTCGTTATTTCGTGGCTTAAAGATCAATTTATCCTCTGAAACTAAAAAGGCGATTACTAAATTTATGTTATCATCGCGATAAAAAATACTAGCTACTTTAAGGTGCAACCTTTGCGCAGAGTTAAACTTGGGCGAAGAAGCGTCCGAGCAGGTGCAAAGGATTCGAGCGGACAGTTTTATGTTGGAAATAGAGCAGCAAAAGATAGAACGTGCCTTGATGACTCAGGCTAGGTTCCATTCTGAGAAGAGCGAAACCTCAAGCGAGCGAGGTTTCGCTCTCGTATAGAAATTAGTGATAATTATATAGGACTAGCACCTGCACGCAGGTGCAAAAACTCAGGGAACGTTTGTTGCTATTATGATGCTCGTGTTCTGTTGGACGAGCTATGAGTCATTGTCGAAGGAAGAACATCTATCCAAACCGGATATACCTTCGAATATATATATATATATATTCATATCACCGGTTGGTCTTGTCGATGACAAACTAAAGCGGAAAACGAGTCATCTCAACAGAATGCATCTCATGACACTGACCGAGCAAAATCGCAACAAAAAATTTCTTCGTCTCAACATGTATAATATTTAATTAATATACTATAGTTAATAAACTTCTGCTCGATTAATGTAATTAAAATTTTATGTATATAGGGTGTGTCTGAAATAACGCCAATTAATCATGCTATTCCTAACAAAAAAATCAAGTCGAAAAGTCCTCTACTATTTTCCAATTTTCGCAATATTTTTTTTCATCACCCAATGAAAATGTCTAATCGAATGCAAAATGCTTAAAATCACGTGATATATAAGACAACTTTAAGATATCTTTAAGAGATTCTTTAAGAAACATCTTCAACATATTTCACAAAGAACACTGAAAGATATCTTAAAATTATCTTATACATCGATTTTATTCGTTTATTTGGCAATCTTTCGAAATTAATATCTCGATAATTATTTTGTAAATTGCAAAATGATAAACTTTTCGATTCAGGTTTTTTAATTAGAAATAGCACTGTATTAATGGGCGTTATTTCAGATGCACCTTTACACATACTGAGGTAAAAAATTTAAATGCTAATTCTATGCCAAAACGGCAAATTTCATTTGCATATAAAGAGATCGGAAATTATTTGCAGGTATAACAAATATTTATTCTTTTTTTGTACCCGCTACAAAAATGATTTGCGACAAATGCAAAATATTTGTAAAATATGCAAATTTGTTAGAAATATCAAACAAATTTGACAATTATATTTTGTGTTCCCCCTTTCGTATTCATAGCAAATTTTCCCCTCTCCCTCCCTCTTTTTAAATATACACTTTATCTTAGAATGTTTTGAGGAGAGAGCTTCAACTTAATATAAAATCAAAATTTCCAACACAAACAGAAGTCACTTCTGTGTAGAATAGAAATCTAGATTGCATAAAGTATAGCGTATAAAAAAATATATTTGCAATTTATTGAAATCCATAAAATTTATACGTATGTTAAAACATACATCATGCATAATGTATATATTTAGAAAGATGGTAACCGGCTTGACTTCGCGAATATTTCTGACAAGATAATACATTTTCTAATCTAAGTTGCATTTAATAATCTTCAAAGAAAAAATTGCAAGAGGAAATATTGTAATATTAATAATAACGGTTACAATCAGCTCGTTTGACAATTAATTTTGTTCTGTCATAAATAAAATTTTGAATATAGAAATTATTTGACAATCAAATGATAAATATATCTATATAAAAACATGAATCTATAATTGTTGTACGCAAATTGAAAGCAGTCGAAAATTATCTCAGTATAAAAGACTTAATTTAAAATATAATGCATGAAATATTAATATACCAAAATATATATTAAATACTTATACTATACTTATTATGTATATTTACTATACAAAAGCAGTTTTAACGTTGCTTTCAACAAAAATATCTAAAAGTTTCTGGTAATTCAAAATAAAGATTACTTTTCAATTTATTCTCTTTTTTAAAAACAATTCTTTTATAAAAGCAATATTTTTTTATAAAAATAATTTAATCAACAGAATAAAATTAACTGAGATTTTATAAATCTTAATCATTCTTCTAAATCTAAACAATGTGTGTGTGTGTGTGTGTGTGTGTGTGTGTGTGTGTGTGTGTGTGTGTGTGTGTGTGTG